ATTCTAATTCAATTTGATCCAATGTTTGTATCAAAGTTTCAATTTTTTTACATTCTAAATCTAGATCGTTGGTTAATTTTTCATCATTATCATTATCATTATCGTTGTTTTGATCCATGTTTCTAAATGATCAAAGTAGGAAAAAAAACATTTTAAATTCAATTAGGAATCCAATAAAATTTCATACTCAAAATCCGTTTGCGTTTGTGGCTCTGATGGTGATTTTGGTGAAGAAGAATCTTTTACCATCATCATCTTCGGTTCAGTCGAATCATCAATATGATTAGCTTGTTGATCAACAATGTCAATATCATTGGTTAATTTTTCATCATCATTCTTGTCACTGATGGTTTCCATTTTGTTTATCGTTTGATGATTCATCATTATATTATTACAGCCAGAAGATTTGGTTGGTTGACCATTCATTCAAATTCAAAATGAAGAAATAACCCTGCTGTATTTGCAACAACAAAAAAAAAGGCTGGGTATTTTCAACAACAAAAAAAAGTCACTTCGGGTGAAAAACAAAAAACAAAACAAAAACACTAAAGGCACTGATATAAATCAAAGGGAGGCACACGGTATTTTGTTTAACATAGAAAAAATATTTCTTTGATGATTAATACAGAAAAAATTAGTAAAAAATTTTGGTATCACGGACACCGAGCATTTGGCAACAGGTAATCTGGATGATGATAATATTTTTGGTTGCTGCACTTTCAAAAAACTACACACAAACAAACACAAAAAACCATATTGTTTCTGATTGATTTCTGATTAAATTTCTGATTTCTGATTCAATCTAATCAACCAAATCACTCAAACAAACAAGATTCGCTGTTGTTGTTGTTGTACAACGTTGTTATCGTTGGTTGTAAAAACAAAAAATACAGGATATCATCTGCCGAAGAAAGAAAGAAAGATTTGAGAAAAAAAATTGGCTCGAAGAAACAAACAAAAAACCCAGGCACGAGAGAAAATTCAAATTACATCATTGTCAGACATTGTCAGATTTCGGTTTCCACGTTCTCATGATTTTTCTAGATTTTTGTTGTTTGTTTGCAGTCGTCGTCATCATTTTCATTTCAGTTGGTGATGATAATGTTGACATTTGCGTTGTTGTTTTCTTCCATTCAGACAAAAAAAAACCGTTTGAATTATCTGATGATTATCATCATCATCATCATCAGATGTTTTTTTTTGAGCCAAGTTGTCTGCGTGTTTGTTTACGAGTTGAAAACCGAGAGAGAGAGAAAAAAAACGAGAATTTTTTTCGAAGTGAAAGAGAAAAAAAGGCAGAAAAGGTGATGATTTTTTGATTGATGAAAATGTCAAGCAAATATTTTCCTTGGAAAAGAAGAGTGGTTTGATAATCACAGGAGTTGGTTGGTTACTCGCCAAATATTTTTGATTGATTAACGATTGATTTTTCGATTGTTTATGTTTTGATCTATGAAAGTTATCAGATGACATATGGCGCTACCTATTAACTGAAATGGCCGGTTAG